TTCATTCTCTATGTAATCTGCCAGCTTACTACCGTATCTAAATGTTTTTGTTGAGAAGCAACATACTTGAATACAATGCTGATAGTAAACTTGTATTTTTACTATGCAGTCCACAATCATGTAATCAACTGCGAAACTTAGCTTCCAGATCCGAAAAATGATAATTGAATAAAACTTTTATTCTACTACATCTACTTCTGATAATGATTGTTAAAATGGTTCTCTAGACACATAGACTTCGCTCTTGCCATCATTGGACATCTTTATTCCGAACAGGAGAAATATTTATACCGACCGCTGAAGATGAAAATTATTCTATAATTTTGGTCTTTTTGAATCTGTGATCAATTCTCAAGGCTTACTTCCTAGTAAGGAATATATCTGAACAAATTCATTCCTGTGCAAGTTATTCCTTAACGCTGTGGGCAAGCGATTGTGTAATCAACACTCACACTATGCTTCTAAATCGACAACATAGTTGAACGAAACTATGTGTATAAAAATCAATCACATTTGATGTGTTCCTCAATTATATGACGAAGTCAATAGCTTTTATTTGAAATCTCAAAAGTCGATGAATTGAATCTTTGTTGTCTGTGTGAGGATTATTTGCATGTTACGTAATCGTCAATTAGGTAACAGACTCGAAAAGCTTTATTTTGATATCTGAAAAATAGTCTAACAAAATCTTGCCTGTTTAACTGATAGCTGTTAAGCTACAATGTGTTCATTGTTCATGTAATCAATGCTGAATTTTTCCTAGTGAGAGCAATAGTAGAATAGACTGTTGGGTGCTTCCAAGGATGTTTAGGAGCCATTTATGGTAGCTTTTAGCTTATCACTAGTGTTTCTCATCTAAATAAAAATAGCTAAACAATCGACCATTCTACGAATACCTGATTTTTTAATGGAGAGAAAAAGGGTTGCTTTACTAAAATAAATTGTTCACGTACTAACATAAAATCTGTCACATGTGTCGTACTTTGTCACACAATGTATGGCGCATTAAAGTGTGCTCATGAGATGCTCGTTGCGACATATTCGACAAATTTTCAAAATGAAGTTCGAATATAATGTGGACTCACAGCGAAATAGAGTATGGGTGTAGGATGGGTGCGGCTGTAGATGTGGATATTTATAATTTTAGGACGGTCATAGTAGAATACGGATATTACTTTTTAAAAATTTACATGACGCTCTGAACATAATTAGTACACACAGTAGAAAACGAAATCGTCGATCTTGAGCTCATCCACAATGAAGTAATTGCTGTAGAAGTTGTTCCATGGCAAAATTCAGTTAATTCTTGTATGCCGAAACGACAATGGCTTGCGATTATTTTACATTATAAATAGTATTTTTTTGTTGAAGATTTATTTTTCCGATTTGTCCTTGCTTCTCTTTATTTTCACAATTCGAAAAGTCGTATCTCCTTTTCTCATGCTTTCATTAAAAAGTGGAAGACCTTTTCCTGCTTTATGACCAAGGCCTATTGACAAAGCACCATCTTCAATCTTCATTTGTTTCTGTTTTAATGTCTCAATCAATTCTGTAGGTGCACAAAATTCTACGATCGTTGTTGGATGCGACGAAACCCACTTTCCTCCAGTCAAATATTTGTTAGAATATAATCTACCGTTTTCACCTTCAATGATTGCTTGATACGGTTGAGTATCAGGAAGTTCTCCATGTTCTACTAGGTATTTAACTTCAGTATCTCCCATTGGACGATATACAATTGTTTGTCCCGGTTGTGGGGAGGAAGAAAGAGCTTCTAACAAAATTGAAGATGAACCATGATGTGTAATATTTTGCAGTTGACCTGATTCGTATAGCTCTCGTTCATGTGGAAGTAATCGTTTCAACCAACCAGTAATCGGAACGGCTTTGCTAACATCATTTTGAAATTTTGAATCTGCCATCTATTGTAAATAAATATAACCAAAAATGAAATATCTAAAAGAATAGATCTCAAATTGTGAAAGAAGATTTTATTGTATCGTACAACATGGGTGTGCCACACAGAAGCAACTTTCATGTATGAGTCAAATCGTTCCTTAACATGTGAGGTTTATATTTCAATGTAATTGCATAAGTATTAGATTATCTTACACAATCGATGAATGACGATCTTGTTTTCTTTTCTTCTCCTTACAAAGGACTGTCAGCACAAGGAACAGTATACACGTGCTAGGCAAAATTGGACTTTAGGTAAATATTAACAGTGCTTTTGAAAGATTTAAATTTAATAAATCAAAAAGGATATGAATAAACAACTGATATATTAAGTTATGTTCAATTTTAATTGAAGTCTAGTTAAATCTAGAAATTTGTAGAGTTTACCAGTGTTCTCAATTGAAATTAACTTTGTCTTAGCAAGATGCGACAAAAAAAAAAGAAAAATAAGTATCTTTAAGCTTATATTTTCTTAAATAGTATTTTTTATCGATGTTTATTTGTCTTCGAATTTTACCTGGTTCATTGATAATATTTACGTATAAAATATATGATGCTGTTAAGTTTCGATAAGTTATTTTCGAACCCAAAAAAAAATGAAGGATATTTTTGTTTATGTAATCTCTTTAGTCAAATCATAGCTGCCTTATCTTGGAATTTAATACTCTAATAATTGAAAATGCTGCTTCGCTTGTTCATAAAAATACTTTCGAAAATCATTTTCTGGTACCAACGCAGACGAAATCATTAGTGCACACATTACAGTATGAATAAGTGAAAATGAATACTCTGTCTAGTACAAGAAAACCAGGCACGTGCAATCATAAAACTGCGCTACATTAAAAAATGTATTGTAATACTGTTGTCTCAAGTTAGTTAGATTAAGCAATTCTCATTAATGTATAAGGCTTGTGAATATGTAACTTCTGTAAAAATTTTCAAAATCAAATTTTTATCGAATCCTTCCGAAAAAATGAATCAGACAGTCATCAAATGATCGAGTCAATCTAGAATTGTTTTTGTGTCGCTCATGGTCTACATTTTTCATTTTACTTCTTTGACATGAGGATCATGCTTAGAACCAGTAGAGTTCTTTGTCGATCAGACTAATCTGTTTGGTTTTTTCAGCTGGGCCACACCGGTCAGCTAAAATTCTTGACTTAATTGGCAAAAATCTGCCAAGAAACTGGCCTATTTAATATGTCAATGAACCTACAAGGTAAAACCCATTACTTTAGATGGAATTTAACTTCTGACGACTTGTTAACATAGCGTCATCATACTGAATTCATTTGGCATAATTTGAAGCTCTTATTGCACCGTGAGAAAATGTGAACTCAACATTTGTAGCTGTAATTTTGATAATGATTAAAACTTTGTCAGCTAGACATCTTCAAGCTCATATTTCTTAATCGTGAAAATTGGCCAGTTCTAAAAGTTGGATTGGATTGGATCAGCAACTGGTAAATGAGTCAGCTTGGCACCGGTTAGCCAGTTCGGTCGTATCTACAACATGGACATAGTTTGAAACGGAGAAAAAAAAACTCTATTGAATAAGTTATTTGACTTGCAAATATTCTATCCGATATCCTAGAAATACATTTACATTATCCGCCCAGGTGTTGACAACAATAATTTCTAGCTAGTTATTATTGTTGTTCAAATCGTCAATGGGATTAGACTATACACGTAGATAAAAGCTCTGTTGAATAGATCATTGTAATTGAAAATAATCGTGAGTTGAATCCAAGTATTACAAGTATATTCATTGGTGAAAAGTTTTTTTTCCCTTTGCTTCTTCATGTTTGTTTCTTCTTTATTATCGAACCTAAGTATAAAATAGCTATGTTATTTTTATATGATATATAATCAGTATTTATATAGCCTAAGCATTGTGTTTGCCTTTTCATATCGTGAAGAAACTCGAGAAACAAATCAAGTAACAGAATTTTTCATGGTGTTCTTATTTCAATTTTTTTGACTTATTGTGTCGTTTATCATCAAGCAAATATTTTCGATTGAGTTTTGGTCAATCACCAAACAAGATTTATGTTTAAGATTATTGTTCTCTAACAGAATGAAATTAGCTTGAACTTCAAGAAATGAGTAATAAACAATCGACAAAAGACTATTCTCATATTTCTGACGTGCAGTTTGAGAAAATGTTAATTCTACGAACAATTTTAATGATACCTCCATATTACCGAACTTTTCATGGACTGTCATCGAGTTTGAAGTTCTTCACGTCAATAAATATCATGTTATTTCAACTAAAGTTTTGATACTGTCGAGCCCTAATAAGTTGTTGCTGACGACGGTTATCGATGAGTAACGACCTATTTTTCAAAGTTAACCAAAACTTCTACCATGTCCACTTAATCAACGTCGAACATTATTTGGATCTATATTCAATACGACCTATTTTTTTTCTAAATCTTTTACAAAGTTCATTTGGTTTCATGATCAACTCATATTTGCCAGTATTAATAACCTTGAAATCTATTTTCTTCGATGTGACACATGTTCGAATAGTTCTAGATCAATCAGACAGATTTTCATTTTGTTACCATCTACAAGCTAATGCTGCAAGACTTTTCTTTCAGAACGTATGTACTTCAAAATAGCTGTCTCGAACATGTTAAGACCCAATCAATTGAATTGGAAGAAAAATAATTGCATAATGTTATGACAGAAGAAGTGTGACATCCTTAAACTCTAACGAACAAAATAAGGATGAAAAAAAAAATCATGCTCGATATCTATTCACATTTTACATTTTGATAATTGTTGCATAAGATTGGATCATTCGAATCAACAAAAATAAGTTAAAAAAAGGTAAATATGAAAGATTTAAAAAGAACGAAGGGAAAACATTTATTGAACGATTTATGTCTATGCAATGTTGAGAATAAATTGCTGCCTTGTTAATGGCCATTCGTATGAGTAATTACAGATAAGCTTGATTCACTTTTCGGCTTACCCACTATATCACTGATTGATTTTTTTTCCATAAGTTTACCTGAAAAATAAGGATCAAAGAAATATTATGAATAAAATAATTGACAAAATTTATTTATCGAAAAGGAATTTTCAAAAAATTTATATGGAACGACAAAATAGTCAAACATACTTTTCTTTTTGTACCATATGAAAAAAGTAACAGTGGCAGCACCAACACTTAGTAAAATGACGAATAGAATACTAGAAATAATGATAGTCAATTGATTTTGTTTTGATTTCTTTTCATCTTCCTCAAGTGCAACAACAGCATTAAATGCATCATCAACATTTTCGATGATAGTATCTGTCATTCCATTTACAACAATAGTATCAACATTGCTCCTTTGAATATTATCGGTATTGTTATTTGTGAAATCATTTTTTGCTTTAACATGCATGTTGCCAATAAGTACAAATTCTTTTACCGGTGGTTTTTTCCATTTAATTTTATGATCAAATACCCATTTATCCAATGTACCACCTAGATCTGTAATACGTTTAACAATATCCCTTCGACTACCCAGTGTAGCAACGAGTGCTTTAGCATCTTGTGGTTTAAGAGCTATTCGTGTTGTATTATCAACAATATTTAATGTTAAACCATTAATATCAACTATATTTTCCACAAATGTTTGACACATATTGTTATTGGCAGCATCGTATGTATAAAAATGTTTGTCTATGTTTGATGCTGTAGTTATCAATCGATTTAAGGTAAATGTTTTATTAGGCGTAAGTGGAATATTATATATATCGACAAATTCAGTAGGAAATACTGGTTTCATGAGACGAACACGATGAGCTTTTTCAAGTTTGTACACTGTACTACCAACAGTATTTTTCGAAGATTCAACCATTGTTTGTAATATATTTAGTTTTTTTTCGTTCTGAATAGTAATAAGTAAATAATTGTGATAAATTTCGTCATAACCAAGTTCAATTTGTTTATTAGCAAATTTCCAAGAACTGAGAATATTAAGAAAAAGAAGTAAGACAGCTTCGACCGGTGTACGACCAAGTTGAATTTTGAGAACTGGATGATCACCGACTTGTTCTAAGATTTTGCGTACTCTTTCAGGCATTTCGGGATGGTATTTTGCAGCAATAAAATGATGATCAATTTTTTTCAACTATAAAAAAAAATATATTTGAGTATTCTTTAATTCTAGGCAATACAAACATTCTTATACAATAATTAATTTTCGAACACAACAGATTCTACTTTTAAATTATAACAAGATTCATTTGAAGAGAATATTTTTTTTGTTTTTTCTTTTGATTTTCCAATATTAGCAGACAATACAGTTTTTAAAGACTATTCGAAATGAACTTCAAAATTTCGAAATTATATTAATTAATCATGAAAAGATTAGAATCAGATCGTGGAAAATAAATTATTCTGTCATCTTCAATAAAATGTAAACGTATGGTTCTTAAAATTGTCTCCGACTCTGCTAAATAAAAATTTAGTGAACGATCATTACTTTTGTAAAGAATAAACCACTTAAGAGTATTGCAGCTTCTAGTACCACTAACAATTGAAAAAGCATGTTGATCAATTGCATAACCAAAATAATACAAAACAATTAAATTATTGATTAAATATGTGAATGTAAGTTATAAAATTAGAAAATTAAGTATACTTGTCAAAATAAAGAAGGCGCATTTCCACAATATATAATTTGAAAATGAGACAAAAAATATCTTCCTATTAATTGTTGACGATATTAATAATCTTTGTCTGTATTATTGATTTTTCACAAGAATAATATGTTATGTTTATGTTATTCATCGTTCAGCAATGATTAAAGAGCTGAACTATCCTATACAAATAACAAAACAATATTGAACAAAAAATAAAGATATTCCGACACAGTAAACTCTGTAACAATCGCGCTATTGACATAAGTTTGTATCGAATTTCATCGAATCATTGCTGATAGAAACCTCGAATCCAGAAAGAAACTATGTTTTTAAAAAAATCATATTATTCAAAGAAACACTCGATTATATGCATAAACAACTCATGACTTTTTTATTTGTTTATCAAAACCTTTAGATTATCTTATAGTATTTTTTTATTTAACACATTCGAGGCGATGTGGTCCACCGGTGGGCCACGCTACACAGGATTGGTAAAAATATCATTCCAGGGAGTAACACTATTATTTCAAATAGCTAACACAACTAATTTTATACCAAATGAAACTCCA